ACATTATATCCCACAAAACCTAATAACATTTTTGAGGTAATCAGCAATAACATTGTAGAGGCGTTTCAAAATTCAAAACAAACACAAACCACCTGCCGAACAAATGTCGTCACCAGCGTCGAGGATCGGGCTGACAATTGAGCAGACGAAGACTATAGTGGAATATGGCATGTCAAAGGAATTGAGTTGCGCCAATGGGTTAAGTCAACCATGCCAGTGTGGCTCAACTCCATGGTGGACGTCGAGGGCATACACCCGACACATAAATCCAAGCAGCAACCCCGCACACCAAAGCTAGAAGCCAAACTATTTGTCAAGAAGGGGCACTTTGGCCGTTCTTGCTTTGGCCTTTTTCGCCGAGGTTCGGTCACTTACGGATAATATCCGGTCATCCGGAATTATCCGGTGTTCTCTTTCTGTAGAAACCGGACTGTTTATGCCCAATCATAGGTCAGCTAAACAGTCCGTTAATAATCATCTTTAGTTTTGCCCTCGACCACACAAGTGTTCTTCGTCGTCGTTCCTCCCCAGTGCTACCTCTTTATCGTCCCTCTTGACACTATTTAAATGTTCTAAGACGTGCTTTATTGTAAGCTACTTAGTGTACATATGAGGAAATATAGCCTACCCCTGGGCCAAATTACGAATTTCGATTGGCTGTTGAAAGGGGGCGTTCGCCCTGATCTTCTTGATATTTCACAGTTACAGTGTAATGAAGCGATTTGTCTATAAATACAACAACCACTTAAAATAGTCGCACCCACCTTGAACTGATCAGCAGAAATTTCCGCCAATTAAATGGATGTAGTGTGCCGATACAGCGTTTGATTGGTAGATATCCACCAATTGCATCGATGCATTTGGATGAAACAGCTGGGTTTGCTTTGATTGGCTGAAAATATTTGTTTCGAATCAAAAATACTAATTTTTGCTTTTGTTTCGTTTTTTTTGTTTTAAACATTGGCCACACCAGACAAATGTACATTATATTAAAACACAGACATCTGAGACAAATGTACATTATAATAAAGCACAGAGTAGTATAAAACACATGGGATCAAGGGGAGCATTTATTTAAAGAGGTACACAAATTTCAAGGTGGGTGATTGGCTGACCTTAAAGTGCCCCATGTCTCTTAAATTGGAACTCTACGTTAGGTGTGCCACCGCCTTCTAGTGGCCTCCTTGAGCATGACAACCCCAGACTAACTTTAGTCAGTGTCACGATGTCGGTTATGACGATTGTAGAGCTCGCTACGAGTAACGTTACCAATACAGTATTCTGACTGACGGGTTCATTTTCCATATCAGTACCATTGTGGGTATTGATTGTTTGCTCCAGGTTTTGCCCACGAAAACACACATGCGTTTTACACCGTGTATTTCCCAGCTTTGCTCAGTTCATTCAACTCCCTCGCTGCTCAGCACAGCCACAACAAAAGACAGCAGCAACAGACTTAACAGCAATGGCGGGTCACGACACGTCGACTTCTGCTCCATGCTGGTCCAAAGCAATCACATACAAGGCTGGTCGGGTTTACAGTTGAGCTTTGTAAATGGCGTCATCCGGATATCCACCAGCTGGAGATTACTTCAGTTAACCCCCACTATCAAAGGAATAGGTTTAACATGTTTAACGTATTCACGCGGGTCGTTTACAGTAAGGAACTCATTAAAACGCTTCACGTTATACTCTTGCGCTGAACACATAATGTGGCTGTAGAAGCAGGCGACGCAGCACTCGCACATTTTCTCGATGAGTCCATCGATCAAAAAAGTGGCGGCGGCGTCTCCCGCGCGCCAGGACCAGCTGCGTCACGGTGAAACCGGACCGACCATTCTCACCCCCAAACTACAGTCGCCACATAGCCAGTACCAGCCATCCTCATCCAAAGCGGCGGCGGCGTCCAGTGTAGAGAATGGCGTGCGCGGTTCGTTCGCGTCAACCAACTCGGTTGTGCTACTACAACACGCGCGCACCGAAACGCCTAGTCTTCCCCTGGAACACGACGCCGCAGCCACTGCCAACTCGTCGCATCATTGCTTCGTGCATGCTGCATGGACGTTGGTGTCGTCTGTCGCGATCGGCGCCATCTTCATCAGCGTTGTCGTGCTCGTCGGAAGCGAGGGCGTCCACTTCCTTGCGTCGTTCCTCGTGTCCATCTTGAACTACGAAATGTCCTGGTACAGCTACGCGATCATCCAGACGTTGCTTCGGCCGTTCCAGCTTTACTACGAGATGGACGTGCTAGCGCCGTACCGCGATACCAAGAAGGCCGTGACCGTCGCCGACGCATGGAGCGTGCGCACCGGCATCCCATCCGTCATCATGTCCGTTATCGTGTCCGCTCTGATCATGCTGCTCGCGTCCGGCAGCATCGCGATACTTCAGCTCTACGGGAACTTAGGCCTCAGCACTTCAACGTTCTACCTCGTCATCGCGTACGTTGCGTCCACGTCGTTCGTCGCCGTCGCGTGCGCCATGCAGACGCCGACTCCCATGGATGGCGCGATCCTCCTCCTTCAGCAAGCGTCGTTCAGCATCAACGCGTTCAACACGTACTTCGACTTCCGCGAGGTGGTCGATAACGAGTTGCGTCAGATCATGCTCATCGACGGCGGCTTCTCCATCGCAGTCGCGTTTGTCCCGATAGTGATTCTGCGCATCATCCGGTCCTCCGAAGTCGCGCGCACGGGGCTCACGCTCTTGCTGGACCTGTTTTGCCTCCAGTACATCCCGTCGCTGGTCCTGAAGTTGGAGTCGGTTGTGGACATGCTGCTGCTACTGGATCTTGATATGGATCCGGAGCTGATCATTCCACTCCAGGGAGTGTACGCCATCGTCAGCTGCTTCCTCGTGATGTGGTCGACGGACCTGGTGACGGCGATGCTCCCTGCGCCGCGGCCGTCGTGTTCCGTCAAGCAGTGGATGGTGGTGGTGGCGGGCATCGGCGCGTCGATCCTGTCCAACGTGGTTTTGAAAGTCGCGGTGGCCCCGGCCCACATGCCGCTTCTGAAGTGGTACCACATCGTGCTCATGGTGCTGGGCAGTTGCTTGTGCCATGTCGGAGCCACATTTGCCACGTTGTTGCGGTCCATGGCCAAGGACACGTCGTTGCGCAGCAAGTGGCTCGTGCGTCTGCACTACTTTTTGCTCCTTGGGTTCTTCCTCGCTATGTACAAGCGCGTCGAGTGGTCGGCGACGTACTCGACGACGATCGAGCGCGACATCCGCCAGTTCGAGCGCAAGTGGCAGCGCCTGGACAACGCGTCCTTTGCCGCGCACGAGGACGACGAAACGCAGTTCAGTTTCTTAGCAACGGTCATGCAGTTGTTTGAGAACGTGCACATGTCGTACACGCCCGTGCAGTTGAACGAGTTGTTTGTGCGCTCAACACATGGATTCCTGCTGGAGATCGGCACATGCATCGTGGCGTCCGTGGAGGGCAACGTCACGGGCAAGCACTGCTTTAGTGGATTTGGTTAACCAGAATGCTGGTAGTTAATAGATGATGTACATAACGTTACGATGGAATAGAACACTGCAATCCTCCTGGTGTTAAACATGTGCGACACCGTGGATGGATTGATATGAAGCCACACCGAAGTTGATGTAAAAGTCCAAATTAAAAGCACTTTTTCCGAGACGCTAATTCATCCAATTTAAGGTGCACCATTTTAAGCTTAGTCTTTATATACCCAATTGCATATTTTTTGGGCGGTTAACCTTTGTAGGAATTGATTGGCTAATTCGCGTACACCTTAAATTGGACTTTGACGGCCAATAAGACTCTGCTATTACAAATCAGTTGGTATTTGTCATCGAAATCGAATTTTTAAGTATATAGCCCAATCAGAGCTTAAAATAAATACGTTACGTCGATTCAATGTGTGTTAACAGTAAAATCCAGTGCAGTACAACGTACCAGTAGTAAGTACTACCGTATTCCCCTTGTGGTGAGTACCTATGATTTCTCCGGTTGGACCTGTACCGGTTTGGAACATACTCTGGAGTATCGGCCAATGACGAAAATTTTCATGGTTCAGGTTGGGCTTGTACCTAGTTGTCTCTAATTGGACAGAAATATCCAATCACCATGCGTTAATTATTTTCATCCAATGAAATATAAGTCCTTTGATGAATTTAGACCAATGCCCATGCCTGAATAGGTTTCAAGGTACCGGTTGTGATCAGATTTCACTTACATTTTCATACATACTGTAGTGAAGCGACGGAATGTATGTCGTTTGCCGATGTAGTATCGTGGGAGGCATGGAAACTGCAGGGCTGACCATTTGTTTGCATCGCTCGAGGACGTCACGTGGGGTAGGAGAGAGAGTGCTGTGGTGGGCCAAAGGAGTATCCTCTGTGACGTTTCGAGGGAATGGTTCCATGTTGATTAGAGCTCGTCGTGGTCGTCGTCGTGGTAGGACGTTTCGTGGGCCAGCGCGTACAGGATCTCGTCTTCGAGAGAGTTGAGGTTCACGTTGTGCGCAATGCGCTTCCACGGCTGACCGTCGACGACGAAGAACTTTTCAAAGTTCCACGCGATGTCGCGGCCGTCGTCGACGTTGGATTTTAGCCACGTGTACAGCGGATGGGCGGTCGGTCCGTTCACGTCCACCTTTGTACATGAATGAGTCCCAAGGAGAATGAACAGGCTCGACAGGATCTTCATACCTTGTCAAAGATTTGAAACTCGACGTTGTACGTGGTTGTGGCAAACTGGACAATGTCGTCGTACGTTCCAGGTTCTTGCGCGCCAAATTGGTTGCTCGGGACTGCGATGATTTCAAAGCCGTATTGGTGGTATTCGTCGTAGTATTTCTAACGAGGCAAGCTTCAAGAAGACACACGACGTGCACGTGTTGTAATGTATGTACCTGCAACGCGCGGTAGTTGACGTCAGTGAACCCGCACTCGCTCGCGACGTTGACGACGAGGATCACGGGCGTGTGGTCGTAGTTAGAGAGGGGGTAGTCTTCCCCGTTCGCGGTCTTCAGCGTAAAGTCGTAGATGGACGTCGATGCCGCTACCGCCGCCAGCATCAGCGCCATCGCGAGAGTCCGCACATGCCGTCGCATGATTGTCAGGTTGCGACTTTAGAAATGAAGTTTGACAATATTATTATGGTTGATGACATTGTCCGGATAATTCAACTGTTGCGGATAAACCTTTCCATTTCAATTTATTCTATGCTAGTATCAGTTTACACGATCTTTTGAACCAACTGTACATGTGGCGATGATGGTGTACTATGCGTAGGAACTGCCTTACTCGAGCCCTGTGCCTGTGGACTACTACGGGTTGATGTCGCTCCTCTTGATTGTCGTCGGTCTCGTATTCACGGCGGGCTACTTCACCAAGAGTATCATCGTGGAATATGCATATGCCGCGATGGCGTCGCTGTTTCTAGGCACATTGCGTTCTTCCTTCTCCTCTTGGGTGGAGTGTATGTTTGACGAGGAAGGATCATACTAACATTACGTCCTCTGTTCTCGTTTACTTCGTAATCTCATCCTTAGGCCCCTCTCGACCACCGATGCATCGACGGCGTACTGTACATGTAGGGATGATGCTTCATCGTGGTTACGTTGACCCTGGCATTAAACTATAGTACACCGTCGTGACAAACTTTTGCTTGTACCTACTCATCACATGCATCATTCATGCTCGTCAGTTGGATATGATGTTCCTTACCGTTGTGTGAGCCCGAGCACCATCATCCCATCTTTGATGGCCGTGCAGTACAAATGATTCAGGGCAACATGTTGGGGTACTGGCAAGAGTCGGCAGTCCACACTCGGAGGCGCCTACAACACACACATGGGACTCCCATGACGATGTATGGGTGGGTGAATTGCCTTGTTCAAGATGATGTGGCGCAGGTGCGGCGGCAGGGGGGGCGGCTCCTTGGTATATTCGTCCAAATCTGGAATGAACCGACCGTAGACCGTCGTATCGGTCGCATCAGTCTCGTCCGCCTTGTCCAGATCTACGTCCGCCAACGACGTGAAGTCTGACACGTCCACGTAGTTGTTGATGTTGCCGTCGACGTCTGCCACCGTGGGCTGGTCGGGGGCGAAGCGCCACTCGTCGTCGACAACAAACTTGTACGCGTGTTTCCCGCGCGGGAGGTTGGCGATGTACGTGAAGTCGTTCCCGGATCGATGCATCGGCACATGCGCCGACCATCCGTTGAACGTCCCGGTGATGCACACCTACATTTACGAGGAAGAAGGGGGTGAAAAGAGGAAGGGCATGACGAGTACGAACGTACGTTGCGTCCACCGTGTTCCCATCGAAACACCATGGGAACGATGTCAGGTTGCTTGGTCGCCGAGGACGCAGTGTCGTGGAGGTGGCTGCTGCTGCTTGACGCACCATGCCCACTGGAAGCATCCCCTGCCGCATGCACATACCGAGGGGAATTCGTCGCGTCCATGTCCATATCTGTATCGCTGTTCCGCATCGTGGTCTGGGTCGGACTGCCGTAGTACACACCTTCCGAAGGGTAATGTGCTCCATACGTCGAAGTGCCCGCTCCAGTGTGTCCGATGTCTCCTGTATTCATGGACGTCCCGGACGACGTATGCTTTTGGGACGACTCGTGCATCGTCCCCAAGTCGGTGGGGTGCGAGTCATGCGGCTTGCTCGAAGTACTTCCCATCGCTTCAACACGTCAACTACACCGAGGGAACATCATCATCACGAAGGAAGACGTTTACATCCACGGCGTCCTACACAGAAGGAAGGGCACACCGAAGCAAGGGACGTCGTAGCGGATCCAACGCGAAGGCAACGCAAAAGCCAAATTCCCTTTGCAAAAGAACCTCCTGCATTTGCAAAATCGGCGTTGAATTTCTCAAAACATCCCTAAATACCTTCTTTCCATTAGCTCCTTTTTACTCCTTTTTCAATATATATATAAGGGTGAGTCTGGTAACATTTCAAAATTAATACTTCGAAGTATTTCATTAGTGGTAAAAAGTCGGACAGGATATACAGGAACCAAGTGATCGTTGGACTGTTTGTCCCACTGTCTTGTTCGTTGTAATATTTATTATATACAAAAGCGAAGTCAAAACCAGACGTGAGAAATTAACAGAAGAAGGTCGGACCGAATGTCCTGTATTCATTGATTGGTTAAAAGTGCAATGACCTTGGCAGGTGAACAACATAATGAAGTTTTGCCTGCAACCCGCCAGCTAGCAACGACAATAGACAGATTTCGAAAACGGTGCCGTGGATTTGCCGTGCCCTAACTTTTTACAGCACAGCAAGTCCACGGCAGTAGACTCATCGATTTCGAATGTATCTGCTGTATCCGTTAATTATCCGAACAATTACATCCAGCAGCCATCTCGAAACCTCCGAATGCTGACCGTGATCGAACTCGGCGAGTTCATGCGCCAACGACGCAAGTACCCCTTTCGCCGTCGCATGCGTCTGTTGCGCATCCTCTTGTGTGCTGTTGAGCGACCACTTGTTCCGGAGGGTCGGTTTGACTTCGCCAAACTCACGAACGCTGACTGTGTGTTGAAGTTCCGATTCGACTCGGCCGGGATCATGGCGTTGTGTGAACTTTTGGGTGTCCCCAATGTCCTGTTGACCACCATGGGAGACCGTTGCCTTGGCATTGACGCTCTGTGTATTTTGCTCAATCGAATGTCGTATCCTCGCCGTTTCTACCACATGATGGCGTCGTTTGGTCGCTCACGTGAATCGCTCTGCCGCATTTTCAATTCCCTTGTGGACATGCTGTTCGACCTATGGCAGAACCATTTGTACATCTGTTTGAACATTGTTACTGGCCGTCTACACAACTATGAAGCTGCGATTGCTGCGAAAGGTGCAATGATGTACAACATTTTTGGCTTTATTGACGGCTCGAAACTGGAAACATGCCGAATCTCTCAAAAACACAATCGTACGACGTCCGACGCTCATCAATATGGTGATCTCCAGCGTCTCATCTACAGTGCGCATAAACGTCGTCACTGCCTGAACTTCCAAGCCATCACAGCACCCGACGGTTTGTGTGTTCACTTTTGGGGGCCGATTGAGGGCTCACACCACGACACAACTTTGTTGTGGTAAAGCAAGTTGATGGACTACATGGATCATCATGCAGTGACGTTTGACAATTCTCTTATCTATGGTGACCCTGCATATGGTGTACTTCCGTGAGTGTGCAGCGGCTACAAGGGACCATTGAATGATCCGCGAATGCAAGAATTCAACGCATCAATGAGTCGCGTTCGCCAATCTGTGGAGTGGAGCTTCTGTCAAATGAAGTCGCAGTGGGCATTTGTGACATATAAGATGCAACAAAAAAATTGTTGCAGAGCGTTGGAAAAACAATTTGCCTGGCAATGTTTTTCACAAATTGTCAGACGTGCTATTTCGGTGGAAACCAAACTAGTGTTTACTTCAACTTAAAACCACCAGCTCTCAAGGTGTATTTGGTAAAAGTGTAACATGGAATATACATCTTAGGCCTTATCAATGAAATGTCCAATGATTCGCATCATCTCATCGTTACGGCGGCTCTCGATATCTCGAATTTGCTGGCGCTCCTGTCGCCCAGCTCTCTTTCGGCCCGGTCTTTCTCGCGCTCTTCCATTTCGCGCTCGCACTTGAGCTTCTTGAACGCAAGCCTTTCTTTATCGAGCTCAACTTCCTTGTCTTGAGCTTCTAACTGTAAAATCAATTTCTTCTTGCTGAGGCCGCCGACGTCGGAGCCGTCACTCGACTCCAACGATTTGCGCTTCCCGCGCAGCATGGCTTGCTCCCGAACAAACTTGATACTCGCGGCTTTTTCGTCAGCCTCCGACAGTGGCGTGGCCGCCCTATTTTTCGTCGCAGCGTCATTGTAGAGGGGCACGAGGTCATCGAGGAGGCGGCTCTTGGGGGTCTTGTCTTCGGTGGCGCCTGAAAGCCGGGCCGCCTCATTGTTGTTGGACTTGTGCTGGCGAACGAGGAGAAGGAACCTGTTATGCGCCTTCTTACTGCCTGGCCGAGTGAAGCCGTCCACGTCTTTCAGCGTCGCGGCCATGGTGTCCCATGCTTTGCGCATGTCCTTCCGTTGCAGAAAGGGTCTCATGTTATTGATTTGGGTCAGTAGAATCTTGTCTTCTTCCTCCGTCCACCACTTCTTCTCGTGCACCTCCACTCCTTCGCTACCTTTCTCGGACATGCCGTGGCTGTTGGGATTTACAGAGTACAGGCTGCCGTGAATTTGGACAATTTCACGGCTTGCCACATGAAATTTTACAGGTGCCGTAGACTTTATAAATATTTGGAGTGTTTTTCTGCGGCAAATGCACGGCAAACCACTCCGAAATCTGTCTAATACAGTACAGTACCTTAGAGCCTGGTACTACTGGAGGTGTGGAGCATCCGTCAGGGGGATCCTTCCTCTGGCGAATGCTGGCTGTGGTAGTAGTGATTGCTATGTGGTGGGTGTAGCTGTGGCTGTGGTAGTAGTGGTTGGTTATTACTCCTGGAGGTGTGCATCCGCCAGAGGGAGGATCCCCCTGGCGGATGCTCCACACCACCAGTAGTACCAGGCTCTGGTACTGTACTGTATTGTCGTTGCTAGCTGGGTGTACAAGATCAAGTTGCAGGGCTTGACCAAGAATCAAGGCAATATGTTGTATGAGTGGAAGTTCGCGGTGCAGGAGCTCCAAAACGTTTATAACAGCACGATTGGCACTGGTTTGGGTCGTCCCTACACCTCGGCCACGGCTATAGCTTCATTGCATTTGGCATATAATGGCCAATTTGCCATCATCCTGGTTTCAGTGAACTTGGACGTCAGCTTTGTATGTTCCAAATGAAGATGGTCACATTTGCACGGCTGGCTAGAAAACGTAGACGTAATCCGGGTTTTTATGGCATTCCCGCATATACACCCTACTTAATGGATTGTACGGCACCCATATTTATTGGGCGTTACAGTATTTCTCAAATTTGTGGATGTAGGAGCACAATGAAGTCGGAATTGACAGACTGTGACCCCAAATGATGCAGCAAAAAGTAAAGGCACGATAATTAGGTCGAATTTAAGCCAATCAGAATTGAGTCGGATGAGATGTCCGACTTTATTCGATCACAACACATTTTCTCGCAAAATAGGATTAACCAAAATGCCATCTTCAAAATGGAGGTAAAAGGACATGTTTGGGCGATCATGCAGTGGCATGTCGAACGTCTTTTTGCACCTGGTTGACCTGATCTACGACCGCTATCAGCATATTCTGTTCATGGGCCCCAACCGAATTGCTAGTAGGCAGGATGAGTTCTGCTCAGTCATTTCAAACCGGGGTGCCGAAATCGATAATGTTTGGGGTTTAATCGATGGAACCGTGCGAGGGTGTTGCCGTCCAAGTGGGGGCACTGAACAACGAACCATGAACCATGTACAACGGCCACAAGCGGAAGCATGCGATCAAATTCCAGTCCGTGGTGACGCCGGATGGCCTCATATCACATGGCTTTGGGCCAGGTGAAGGGCGACGCCATGACTTGACGCTTTTGCGCAAGTCGTGCCTTGAAAACGTCATCGCCTCGAATCCAAGGTTTCAGGTGTACATCATCTACAAGGACCCAGCGTATGGCCGTTCGGACCAATTGGTTTCTCCGTTTTCCGGTGGTCGTCTGACAGAGGCGCAAAATCATGTCAATGCGAGTATAAGTCGCGTGCGGGTGAGTATCGAGTGGTCGTACGGGCAAATCCTGCAATATTGGCCAATTGTGGATTTGAAAAAGAAGGTCAAACTAGGTTCCGACCCACGTTGCCGTCCTGCTGACAAACTGTGTTACTTGTGCCCGCCAGCGTATTCGATGCGCGACATTTCACGAAGAAGCTCTACCTCGATGTCCTCCATCCATGCGATGTACGTTTTGGGTGCTCGAGACTGTGTCTCAGCCATTGAGAGTAATGTCAAGTCCATGTTTTACAGGACACCATGAACTTCCACCATCTGAGTTTTGATTGGCTTGAGCGTTTTTGTAATATGGGCTTTAAAATATACGAAATTGACGTGCCATTTCATATACTTGAGGCAAATTCCGAGCGGAATTTGGACACCACGAAGTTCGTAGCAGTGAGTAACCCGAAGTTGGATTCCTGTAATTTCAAAATACAGGATTGCTATGTGTCTAATAATATGGCGTTTTGGACCCCTTCAACGAGTAAATACCACGTGGAATTATTGGATTTGGGTTTAAACTCTTCAAGCAAGACTTGTTTCAATTTTGATCAGATTTGTTGAATTCGACCCCAAAATGGCGTTTTGGGCCTGAATATTGCAATATTTCCGATTACCAGACGCACCCTAAATTACTGATCCAATCCTCAATGTATTTTAATAATAGTATATACTTCGAAGTGATATTATTGATAATAATACTATTAATTTACCAACTAGTACTACTATTATTAATACCATAGTTCCACGTAATAGTACTACGTAGTATTAATAGTAGTAGTATTAATACAGTTCGTCGAAGTGTTTTGAGTACCGGTACTTTGTATATTTCCACGTCTTATTCTCCATAAAATTGTTCTTTCAACCTAACCTTTGTACTACGTATTAATCGTACATGTAGGTGGCATCCGACATCAAACCGACAAATTTGAAGTCGGTGATTGGATAACCGACAAATGGTTGAATTTTGATTGGTCAGTTACTTTTAGACAATCCGATTGGACGATGTAGTTGTCGTGGGAGCAACATATCGTTCACATTGAACATATACAGCTTACTATTTGTTGAAAACACAGTCGGATCGACATAACAATAACCAAGACTTCGACACAGCATATCCCGAAAATAACCATGACCTCGACTCAGCATCCCGAGAACAAAGATAAACAATCAAGGTGAGGAGTTTTGACTAGTACGAGAAGAGAGAAGTAGCTGTTGTGCTTGATGCGTACATCCATAGACAGGCCGTACGAACTTCCACCGACGCACACGGCATGTTCATCTCTGTGAATTCGTAGGAACCCGGTGTTGCCAGAGCCACAACACTGGGGCTCGAAGGAGTTTGTGTTCCGGTGCTTGCGTTAGGCCCTGGTCGGGGAACGTCGACTCCACACCCGTCGATGCTTTTGACAAATCATATGGGATTTTTATCCGGAAAGTGTTAACACCGGACACTGTCGTCACTTTTGTGTTAATGCCTGCCGCCACTTGACAATGGTTGATGATCATGTCGTTGTGTCTTCTGCCATCCTTGCTGTGACTGCTGCATGCTTAGCTGTCACGTCCACCGGCCCCCGCCACGAGAAGTACAACATTCTCACTGTAACTCACATTGAATTTTACTCCATGCTTGGTAATTTGGCGTACGAGCAGTGGTTTTTGTCCAATCTGCGGTGTGGTCAAGTCACGTTTATCCAACTGGTCAGGGTCCTTCGTGCTGAAATGGTGGCCTATAGTTTGCGGGTGTCCCTGCACTCTTTTGAAAAGAAAGTGGCAATTTTCCTGTATTTTTTGGGTTCCACTGGTGGACGATTGCCTCAACAAATTCAGCTAAAAATATGTAAAATAATAATGATGAAATCGAAAATATATATCAAGAAAACAATACCTTTATCCGTGGAAAACAATGACTCCCGGCGAAATCCATCCCTGGATCCCCAGTACTCCAACATGCACGCAAAATGCGCTGGGGCGTTGATAACAACGCCGTTCCCTGTCGGCCTGGGCAGTGAAGGCTTGGTCAAGGCCCACTCCGATCTCATCTTGGTAAACTAAAATTGTAAAAATCAATAAAACTGTAAAAATCAAAAATCAAGTAATAATACATATCAAACATAAATACCTTGTCTTTCACCTGCTTGGCAGAATAGACCCGATTGACATCAATGCTGAGTTCCGAGGCCAGCATTTCGTACGCCTCCTTCTTCTAGTTGTTGTTCTTGGAGTCGAACCGATTGGCGAGTTCGGTTTTGTAGCGAAGAAAGAAGAGTCGTGCCACGCTGTCATCGCACCACGACGCAGACTTCTTCTTGCCCGTGTCGTAGGCACCACCCTTCCGTTGTTTTGGTGGTCCAGCCATCACTGAGTCGTTCTGCTTCCTCTTCGGAGCAACAGGCAAAGCATCGACGCCGTCCATGTTCGAACTTGCAGTGGACATCAACAAAGAGTCGACGGTAGTGTTCTGGCGTCGATGGTTCGTCGACACCACAACACTACCATCGACGCTTTTGCTGTCGTGCCTACCATATGTTCGTCATCCGAATATGGGCCAATGAATAACGAGCACCAAATATTTATCCCACTCTTCATATGCAAAAAGCGTCGACAGGCGTGGAGTCGACGTTCCCCGACCAGGGCCTTAAACAACTGCATTAACGTTAGCAACAAGTTCACTGACCCACCAATTCAATCGGAGTTATGTTGGATACTACATACGACATACTTATCGACCTTAGCAATGAAGTTATACATGTACTCGGGGATATGCGTCGCGGAGACGACACCACTGAAGCTCGCCAACCTGTCGTCCCCGACACCGCGATCATGTTGATGTACTGTACATTCACCAGGCGAGATGGCAGTGTCACATTTGGGATGTGTTGCCGATGGTAAACTCACGAATGATGTAGTAGACTGCAGCACGCTGATCTTGGTGTGTCCACAAAAGAGAGGGGTCGCGTCACCAACTCGAAATTGGTGACGCGAACCAAGAGGACGCCGACCACGCCACGCTCTTCTTTCCATTGTACTGACGCTCACGTATCTTCGTCATGGCATCTTTAAGATGTACCATTTCTAGATTCCTCAATGGAAATTAAAGCCATTGCAACGTCCCTGGAGGTGACAGGACTTCTGTACCCACGCCTGCATGGGACACACCAAGAGCTGTAGTCAGGCCGCTTGTAGCCTCTGCACGCAATAAACGTGACACCCGGAGCCACACCGTGTCCTCACGGTTCATATCCTGACAAGGTGAGGACATGAACCGTGAGGAAGGGTTCGAATCTATGTTGCACTCTCTGCACGCAATATTCGTGTGTCCAGCATTAGTA